GGTCCCGTGGAGCTTGTGGAAGGTAGCACCAAGCCCCAAGGGCAGTACTTACAGGGCACCTAGGGACGAGAACCCTAAGCGCATGCAGCCCGAGTACCATAGAATAACTCCTGTCTCTCACACCCCTCGAAAACAGCCACCACACTCTAAGCACAGTGCTGAAAACTCTGGCACCAAGACGATGACCTCCACCTCTAGCATCAGCCTGAGAACTAAAGGGTGGATAGCTGGCGTATGGGGTCTGGGACTCCCCCTTCCCCCTCCTGGGGAGGGGGGAACTGCGCAGTGGCGCGGCGACGTATGATGTCATGATCATTTGCTCATTTCGTTTAGGGGAGTTCTATCCATTTGTTTGGCTTTTGGTAGCAATGTTTTCACCAGAATAGGGGTTTGTTTTGGGATACTTACCTTTCTGGGTACCTGACCCAGTCAATGGCAGACATAGAATGCTTCCAACAACACGGGGGTTTCTATAGGTCATTGCTCTCCTTGCCTCTTCTGAGGGAGCCAGGTTCTGGCTCGTGGTCCCCAGAAGGCCCATTGAACTCCATACACATGACTGATGCCAAAGTCTGACATTAGCATATCAGCCTAGAAAGCTCCAGGGAGCCAAAAAGGCTCTCCCCAGAAAACCCAGGAGTTCAGATGGTACAAGTCCAGAATGAACCGCAGGACCTCACAGTCCCATTTTGGAACTGGAAACAGGCGGGAAACTCACCTGAGGAACGTTGTCGATTCGACCATGTCCAATCATCCTCCTGCGCTCTGTTCACCCGACAGAGCGCAGGAGAAGAGGCCGGCCCTGCCAGCCCTGAGCCCCCCGAAGGAGGAGGAGCCACAAAACGCCACCGCAAGCTGCAAGAAACAACCCGAGAAGCCCACAAATCGTGGGACCAGGCTTGAGTGAACAGAGCAAGCTTCCCCTCCATCGCCCCGACAATGGGGCGAACCGCGAAAGGGTCGCTGCCCCTTACGAGAACACGACCTGCGTACAGAGTGAGCACCACGCCAACCAGATGCAGCCGGGACTGAAGGCTGCACCAACTCCAAAACTAGCACCTGGGTCAGACATCGGGCGGCAGCTGGAAGAAGCCACCTGAATATACTGTTCAATCGCAGAAGCAGCAAACAGCAAAGAACAAAAGGGCGAAGACGATCTAAGAGCCAGGGCACAAGTGGATTCCAAGGAGGAAGCGAGCACCACCTGCTGACACGTGAGGCGCACTGTAAAAAACCACAACAGCGTATCCCGCAGGATCGGCACAAACAACTTCAAAAGGGCAGATGACATATGAGCAGCCAAGACAAAGGCGCTAGACCCAGGAACAGCCCCAAGCACCTCTACATCTTCCGTAAGCCAATCCGAAGACAGCTCGAGGAGGAAAAAGAAGAGCAGGACCGAAGCCAATGAGCCCTGTGTCAGTCCTCAGCCACAAGCTTTCCCAACAAGAAGGTACCTGCATGTGAAGCTGAACTGCACCAACATCCCGCAGAAGAGCCAGAGGGAAAAGGCACTCACTAAATGTGCAAAGTCGCCCCCCAGGTAAACCTGGTCCACAGTCAACGCCTCACGCCACTCCAGCGTGTGGGTACAACAGGTGTCCCATGCATCTAGCGAAAACAAAGGGCAGTCTGCTAGCCAGGATGACTCCGGAACCTCATAATGAACTCAGTATGGAGACGAAGACCCAAACCTGAAGGAAGACAGATTCATTATATTGGCATAATGCGGGTCATGTAGGAGATAAGCCGCAATGGCTGCCCGCACCTCAGGTGGAGAGATGTGGGAAGCCGAAAACTTCCGGAAGGACAGAACTGAAGGACCCACAGGGACAGGGAACCGAACCTGGGGAGGAGCCGAACCCAAATCCAAGTCGTACGCAGAGGGGGGAAAAGAAAACCCCCACGCGTTGTAACAACAAGCCCCGCTCGGAGGGTCGGAAAACCCAGACGGGGTCCAAGGATCCAAAGTCAGCTCCTCCACAATCCTGGGAACCTCCACATCGGGCCCTGGGGCAGAGTCATCCTACAAAGCCCCAGCCTCACAAGAAAAAGCCAGAGTAGCTGGAAAAGCCGGAAGAAGATGGGCCCACTGGTCAGACCCCGTAGTTATGGCAGAAGGAACCAACTCGAATGCCTCCACAGCCACCCCAGAAGGGGCAACCCGCAAAACTGCCCGAGTCTCATAAACCTCTAAATCCTGCCCCGACTCCGAAGCCCTCAGACGCTTAGGAGCCGGAAGCAGGGGCAAGGGGGGACCGAATGAACCACAGCAGGGAAAGAACGAAGGGGTGCGGACAGAACCAAAGCCGAAGTGACCAACACCCTTAAGTCCGGGTCCCTATAAACAAAACAGGGCAGCCTTGGGACATCCGGGGAAGCAACCAACCTAGCACGCTGCAGCAACCTAAATCTATCCTGTAATGCACGAGCTGCCTGCACCTGAATAATATCATCACCAGATTGGGTGAACTGAGGTACAAATAAGCAACAAGGCTCACAGGACTCTGGGTCGAATGTGTCACCGACCCTACAGGCAGCATAATGGAGGCAAAAACAATGAGCATCGCCCTGAGACAAGGGAACAGAGCAACCCTCAAACTCGCAAAAAGCGAGAGGAGACTCGGGGGTCATATCCATTGGACCCGAGCTCCCCGCGGTGTTTTCCAGGGCCTCTAGACTGGGTTTGCTAAGGGTAATCGCAGGCAGGGTTATCTTGAGGTTATCTTGAGTTGTTTTCGAGGCTTTAGTGTCCCCGCGGCCTGGTCCTCGACCAGGCTTCCACCCCCAGGAAGCAGCCCATGACAGCTGACTAACTCCCAGGTACCTATTTACTGCTAGGTAACAGGAGCATAGGGTGAAAGAAACTCTGCCCATCGTTTCTCGCCGGCGCCCGGGATCGAACCCGGGACCACAGGATCACACGTCCAGTGTGCTGTCCGCTCGGCCGGCCGGCTCCCTGGTACAGGTAAGGGTACTGGTAACCGGTGCCCAAACTACCAACCAACACTGATAAAGCTGAACCCTCGAGACATGTTCATCACGAGGGCGAAGCAGGGGGTGCCACCAAACACAAACAACCCCAATATAAAGGGAAAAAAGACACCAAGGCAACTTAAAATAATGAATAAAAACTTAATTGTACACTGACACCACCTTCCTGATCAGAATCTGAATGTGTCTATTACTGATCTCCAAGGAAGGACAGAAATCAATAAACATGAACTCAAGGGCATAGGAATCTTGGTAAATAATGCTTGGGGAATAAATTATATAACTTTACTTTTTGAGGATTCAAGGGTAACTAATATCCATGAAATGGAGGAGGACACAGGGGGATTTCAAAGTACAGCACATAAACACAACATATAAATATGACTCAGTATTAATAATAAAAGGGGGGGGGGGAACAAATAACTAAGCCAGAAAATACACTAATAATCACTTTATTTATTAACCACCACAAAATATTTATATCGAATTGAAAAATATCCTTCTCTAAATTTAATCCCTAAGAGGCAATGGTCTGACTCAATGATGGACATAATACTCAAGCACACTTTACCTTAAACTGCAATATAGGCCACAGATGTTGAATGGTTTGCCTCCTGGCCCTGATGGGGACCTTTCCCCAGTTACTCCCAAAGAAACACTACTAAATATTTTCTTAACAATCTATACCAGTGGAAACAAGCTCCACCCACCTAGTTTTCCTAGACCCAATAAACCCCGCCTCTACCAGACTAGAGCCAATGAGTTCAAAGTCTTGCTCTAGGTCTTAAACCAGCCAGCCAAAATGCCCTTGCTAGCTCTGCCCCCTAGGCTTCCCTGACTTCCACTAATCAAGGCTCCTGGCTAGGCTATAGGCCTGCCCTGAAAGTATGTTTTATTCCCACAGAATTCTGAAACGTTCCCACGCTCCATCCAGGAAACCAAGCAGGCGTTATATGGCACCAGCCACCCCCAACCAAAATTTGAGAACTAAGGTTTTATGGCAGTGAGTACTGCCCCTCGAATTTGTCAATGGCTATGGCGGAACAGAGGAGGAGAGGAAATGATTGGGACGGATGGATTGGAGGTACAGATTAGAGGGAGGAATTAGGGAATAGGATTGGGAGGAGGATTTGGTACAGGAGGGGACAAATGGCCTGACGGTCCCACTTGCCTAAGGGAAAATTTGACCCGAGTAGTTTATGGCAGGAACGGCGAACAGGGGAGGGGGGGGGGGGAAAGAATGAACAAGGAAGGAGATGGCACACGAGGGGAAAGAGGAAGGAGGAGGAGGAGAAGGAGGAGGAGGAGAAGGAGGAGGAGGAGGAGAAGGAGGAGGAGGAGGAGGAGGAGGAGGAGGAGGAGGAGGAGGGAAGGGGAAGGGGGAAGGGAGAAGGTTGGTCTGTTTACAGACCACTATAATTTCTCCCAGCTCGCACACCACAGAAGAGAAGTACTGAACCCAGGCACAGCACAAGTAGAATCTGGAGCTGGAGCCACAACGGAGCCTTATCCCATCAGCCAAGGAAATGGAGGTGTGGATCACTGGCACAGGGGTCTGGGGCTCTCCCTTCCCCCTTACCGGGGAGGGGGTAGCTGCGCAGACATGCGGCATGGCTCGTGTGATGTCATGCTTGCTTGCTTGTTTACCCTTGGGGGAGTTCTGTCCAATTGTTTCGTTGGTTTCACCAGAACAGGGGTTTGTTTTGAGGAGCTTACCTTTCTGGGTTCCTGTCCCGGTCGATGGCAGATATAGGAAGCTCCAAAATCACATGTGCATTTCTATAAGCCATTGCTCCTCGTGCCTCTCTGAGGGTGCCAGATTCTGACCGATCCCCAGTAGGCCTAGAACTCCACCCATATCGACTGATGCCAAAAGATAAGACTATCCCTATCAGCCTGGATAGCTCCTGGGAGTCGTAGGGGGCTCCCCCCCCCAGAAATAAATACAAAATCTATGCAATTTTATTTAAAGATGAAGTAAGCCTTAAGATACTATCAAAACTAACCAGAAGTAAGTGTCTCTGGGTTAACTGAAACATCATTGCTGATCATGAGATGTAGAACAGTTCTTAAGACCTCTGGATAACACACATAGCTGCTGCTAATTATACTGTTGAGGGACACTTGGAAAAGCTGACGCCACGAGTCTTCTTCACTGCGAGACATCATAGTTTCTATATTGTCTACCACACCTTGGGCTAAAACCTCGAACAGAAGACGAGCAACTTTTCCATCACGCTACAGAAGAAATAACCAGGTGTTAACGTACAAAATTGGAACAATTATAATTTTTCACAATAAAATGTCAAACACCTTAGCATATTCAATTTCAAAAGCAAAACAAGTCCTATGATTAACCTGTGCTAGAGCTTGAAGAGGAGCAATTAGTGCTCGGTATGGGATCTGCACATCGGGAAGTTCACCAACACGATACTGCCTGTACATTGTCACCTGGAAAAGAAATAAAACAATCTAATAGTTTTATACAAATAATTGTTAATGTTTGAAATTTGTGTAAGTTTACCCAAAATGTGAATACGAAATAGAAGCATACATTTTGATGCAAGTGAAAAAGAATACTCTCGAACACACTGTTTTGTTCTTGTCTAACACACAAGTGTAAACCATGTGACCAATGTGAATGGATATCCTAACTATAAAAGGTCCTCTTGCAAGGTCAATCACTTAAATTTAAAGACTTTCTTTGTAAATATCTAAATGCAATTTACTGTATGTGTCATTCTGTTCTCTTGGACAATAGTTTATTAGTTAGTAATAGAGTTCTTTTATTATCCACCCCATACCCATTTTGTCGGCGGTAGTGGAAAGGGTTACAGAGGCACATAATGGGCTCAGGGACTGGACCCCACAATTCATTTAACTAAGCAAGTTACAATCTTGATGAGCTAGTTACAAAATTCAGTGTAAGTCGTCACATCATCAATGGGTTCGAGATCGATCACAAGTACAGTTTCTAAATTAAGCAACTGACATGTGGAGAGCTAGTGTCACAATTGATATGTTTGTCCTGCACACCGCCCACCATGCAGTGGGCAGTGGTAGATAGGTTACAGTTACTTAGTTACTACCTACAGTTAGCAAACTGGGGATATTTGGCTAAAATTTCTGGTAGCAGATCATTTTGAATGAAATATTTACACATTGTTGGAACATTCATTATAGAATTGTCTCTGAAATCACGTATCTTTTCACACTCCATCACATAGTGACGGAGGATGTGCGAATAATTTTGTTGACACAGTTTACATTTGGTCAGGTCTACATCGGCTGATAATGAGAATTCCCAGAGATACTTGTAACCGAGTCTAAGCTGAGCAGTAGTAACATCTAGAAGTCTGATGCTTTTATTGGATGAACCATAGATGTACAAGAATATATGATTTATTTACAAGAACAATAAAAAAAAAAAAAAAAAAAAAAAAAAAAAACAGAGTTGAATGTAATGAAACACCATTTTCTGGGTGAGTCCCGGAGGCTCCCCGGAGCTATCCATGGCTGATATGGATGCCCTAACTATTTTGCATCAGTCGATGTGGGTGGAGTTCTAAGCCTACCGGGGACCACGAGCCAGAACCTGGCCCCCTCAGAGAGGCACGGGGAGCAATGGCCCATAGAAATGCACATGTGATTTGGAGCATTCTATATCTGCCATCGACCGGGACAGGCACCCAGAAAGGTAAGCGCCACAAAACAAACCCCTATTCTGGTTAACAACAAAAATCGACAAACGAGCGGACAGAACTCCCCCAGGAAAACGAACTAACAAGCATGACATCACACGAGCCGCGCCGCATGTCTGCGCAGCTCCCCCCTCCCCGGGAGGGGGAAGGGGGAGCCCCAGACCCCCGCGCCGGCGATCCCCGCCTCAGTTCCTCGGCTGATGGGATATTGCACGGTCGTGTGGCTCCAGCTCCAGTCTTGTCTCTGTGCTGTGACTTGTTTGCAGTGCTGCTCTTACGGTGGTCATGTGAGCTGGGAGTAGTATTCTCAGGTACTCGGGCTGCATGTGCTTAGGGTCACCTTCCCTGAGTGCCCTGTAAGTACCGCCCTTGGGGCTTGGGGTCGCTTTCCACAAGTCACCTTGGGTCTACCTCGGTTGGCTTTTCGCTGCTTGGCGTTTGGCCGCCCCGAGGGTTTGGGGGTTTTACTCCCTTGTTTACCTTGGGGTAAGTGGTAGTTATAGCACTGGTGGGGCGCAGGGTACTGCATAGCTAGTTTTCACCTATACACAAAGAGATAATTACCTAATTATTTCATGTCTCTGATTGATTTTTCTTTGTTTTTTTTGCAGTAATATTATTCAATAGTGTGTAGTGTGATATATTTATATAATAAAATGTGTGAATCATCGCTGTACTCAAAATTATGGTGTGCATATTGTTGATTCAATTATTGTGTTCATAAAACAATAAACACTATATACACCGGTTATATATACGTATCTGCATGTTTTGTTCACTATATCGTACCACTAAGTTGATATTGCAAATCAAAAAGCAGCGAAGTGTGGCCACCATATCTGCCAGTCACCCTCTCACCGCCACTCCCTAAATGACTCCTCACTCGCCCACATCCTCCTCCCACCATACTGTTCTTGCTTTTATTCACTATATACAGACATTATATATATATAAGTATCTACATGTTCTGTTCACTATAACTGTTCATCTAAGCTGGTATAGTGCCCAAACAGCACAGTTGCCACCCCAACCCATCATGATAAATCATGCAGATGTCACCACCTCCCTGAACAAAATGACTTCTTCCCCACGCTCCTTTTGCTGTTATTACACTATATATACACATATTATATATAAGTATCTACATTTGTGTTCACCATAACGAACCACTAAGTTGGTATGCTGAGTGCCAGTGGCAGCCCGCCACTGGCTGTCACTCGCTCCCTCCTTCACCTCACCTGACTTGCCACCATTTTCCTCCCATCATACCGTTTTTGCTTTTATTCACTATATACAGATGTTATATATAAGTATCTGCATGTTTTGTTCACCATAGTGAATAACTAAGCTGGTATAGTGAGTCCAGACAGTAAAAGGTGGTCACACACAGTCAGAAGACAACGCTATCTCCCTCCCCACCAAGATTACTCTTCCCACTACAGTGCTAATTATCACAACAATTCTGCTATTATAATCCTAGTCATTTTTATCACAGTCAGGGGTTTTCTGTAATACTATCATTGCTAAATAATAGCATGTACATATATATTATGGCATTTTTAGGAGATGCTGTGGTCTCAAGCTGAACAGCAGTGCTGTGAGCTCATGCTACATGCACCAGCCATGGTGGCTCACTTAGTACTGAGGACCTCACACCCGGAAATGTGGCCCACGATTTTTTTTTTAAATGGTGTCTGTTTACAAGAGCCCTGATGAAGGTGAGGTGATCCCCGTATATCTGCGGGCCGTTTAAATTTTGCGTAGGACTCCAACACGTCATATGACGTTATGCGCAATTTATAGCATGTTACTCAACACATCATATGACGTGTTGCGCAGTTTAAGGGTTAAGCATCACATTATTTTCTGTGGCACATTGAAAGACTTGAGTAACATCGGATTGGAGGTTTGTTGTGTCCTCTATATGTGTACTCTCATGAAAATTCTAGTGTCATCTGCAAAGGATGATACAGTACAATAGTTTGTATCCTTGTCTAATATGGGGATGAAGAAACATACCAGAGCAACCACAACACCTTTGGGGAAGGGGGGCTGAGCATTTCATGGTGGATCATTCAGAGGTTACTTTATTGACTATTAAACTCTGGGTTCTGTTTGTTAGGACGTTAAAAATCCATCTCCCTACTCTGCCAATTTTGTGTGCAATAACACCATGGTCAATTTGTTGAAAGCTTTAGCAAAATTTGTGAATATTACATCAGCGTTTTGTTTGTCTTCCATGGCATCAGAGGCGATGTCATAGTGATCTAGCAATTGCGCGAGGCAGGAGCATCCTGTCCTGAACCCATGTTGCCCAGGGATATGTTGACACTGTGATTCCGTGTGTTTTGTGATCTAACTTTTTAGAACACTTTCGAAGATTTTTATGATGTGCGATGTTAGAGCTGTAATTTTTTGCATCAGCTTTACTACCTCCTTTGTGAAGTGGCATGATCTCAGTTTTTTTCGAGAGAGTTATGGTATCTAAGGTCTGTCTCAAAAAACCAGCGTTGAATGTAATGAAACGCCATTTTCTGGGTGAGTCCCGGAGGCTCCCCGGAGCTATCCATGGCTGATATGGATATCCTAACTATTTTGCATCAGTCGATGTGGGTGGAGTTCTAGGCCTACTGGGGACCACGAGCCAGAACCTGGCCCCCTCAGAGAGGCACGGGGAGCAATGGCCCATAGAATGCACATGTGATTTGGAGCATTCCATATCTGCCATCGACCGGGACAGGCACCCAGAAAGGTAAGCGCCCCAAAACAAACCCCTATTCTGGTTAACAACAAAATTGACAAACGAGTGGACAGAACTCCCCCAAAAGAAAAACAAGCAAACTAGCATGACGTCACACGAGCCGCGCCGCATGTCTGCGCAGCTCCCCCCTCCCCAGGAGGGGGGAGCTGACTACCAAGAAAAACCAAGGGCACTTACCCGGGAGGCGGTCGGTGCTCCACCTTTCAAGACGAAGCCGAGACCACGGGCCGCAACCGCCGACCTAAGGCAACACAGGCCCGACTGGGCCCAGGAACGCTAACAAGGTAGCGTGCAGCCAGGACCCTGTTCGACCGCCAAAATCCCCGCGCCCGAATGTCAGTCCAAGACATATTGCCGAAGACGGCAGCAAGAGCAGCGAACTTACGAACGTCATGGGCACGGGGATAGACCGCTGGCTGGCTGGATTTAATGACCCTGCGGACGACCTGAGAGACCCGAACCCGCGAACAGGGAAGAAGGGAAACCGGATCAACCCACAGCGCGTCCCCGGACACTGAAGCCGTGGCGCGCAGATAACGGTGGAGAGCCGCAACTGGACACAATACATGGTGAACCCCCGGCCTGACAAACCACGCATCAACAACCCAAGGACTCCTCCGGAAAGCAGCAGTCTCATTCTTCACCAGAAAAGAGGGAGACGGCTGCAAACGAACAAACCGAAGACAAAGACCAAAGGAGCAAAAACCCCTGCGCCGGAGAAGAGCATGAAGCTCCACCACACGACCCCCAGAGGCTAATGCCAACAGAAAAAGAGCCTTAGCAAAGCAATCTTGAACCGAAGGGGCCACCACAAAACGAGGAGTGGAAAGATAGAAGAGCACTCTGTCCAAAGACCAGGACGGCTCAGGCGGCGCATGAGCAGGCCGGAGGTGAAACAACGCCCGAGACAGCTTGCGAAACGGCGCAGAAGTAACATCAATACCGAAAGCAAGCTGCAGCGGCTCCGCCAGCGCCGCACGATACGAGGC